GTTTGTAACGCATTTATTATAAGTACCAGCCATATGGGTAAGTAACGCACTTAATCTTGGTACTGCGGTGATAACTCGTATAACGGGAGCTGGTCTACGGGACTGGCACGGTGAATGGCATGCCAACACTGCAGCAAGGCGGCTGCACAATGTTGCATCCCCATGACGGCGGTGCACCCGCTTCTTAGGTGCACCACGGCTGGTTGGTGTGCCACGCCCCGTCACGTGCACAGCGCAGGAACCAGGCCGAGAACACGCCAGCGACTGCGCCCACCAGCCACGTCGACCTCGGGATACCACTTCGGAGGTCGGCTTCGCAGGAACGATCCTGGGGATCATCCCATACGTCGCCCGGGTAACTCGGTCGACCGTGCAACCACGCCGGATCAACTAGACTGATCGGTCGCCGGTTACACCAAACCGGCGTCTCCCAAAGTCGGCGCCAGCTGGTCAGCGCCTCCCAAGTTGGCCTCGCCAGGTTGACCACCTGAACCCGGCGCCCTTCAGCTCGGCGCCACCCCAGCTCGGCGCCCTGCAGCTCGGTGCCTTACAGCTCGACGTCGGCGCCTACCAGGGCGCTTTTTCCCAGGTCGACGTCACCACCTTCCAAAGTCAGCACCCCTCCCCTTGTCGACCACCAGGTCAAGTCGGTCGCCGGCCCCCGTTATCGATGGCGTTGCAGTGGCCTAGCGCCTAAGTTGGCGTTGCCCACTGCAGTTGGTTGGCTGCGCTCCCCACACACCTGGCAGCGAAGTCGGCTCCGCCCAAGCGAGGACGGGGCCAACACACAACTCCCGTTGACAGGTACCCACCAGATGGGTAAGTAACGCTGGAGAGCCAATGCAACCCATGTTGGATGAGATGCGAGACATCTTCATGAAGCTCAGGATTGGTGGCGTTGTCTACTTTCAGCTTGTTCTGTGCGTGGAGATATTGATCCGACTTCCTGAGTCCTAGTCTGCCCTAGCCATCAACCTCAACTCCCAGCAATCCGAATAGAGTGTGGATTATATTCGTGCGCGAATCCTTGAAGAAGATTTGAGGCGCCGAAGTGTAGAGCACTCAGGGGATGGTGCTGGTTATGGAGTTGGGGGTGGAATGAGTGGTTTTAAAAAAGAAGTGGAAGGGAAAAAAAGAATGAGATTTCTCAAGAGGAGAGTGGTGGAGGCCAAGGGGAGGTGTGCTTCTATTGCATGAAGCGCGTCCATTGTTGGAGAAAATGCTACCAATGGCCCCGAAATTGGACCCTGCCTTCCTCAAGCAACAAGCATGGTGGCAAGAGGAGTGGAAGTCATGGTAGAGAGTTGAAAGGAGAAGGATGACGAGAAAGGTGGCGAACCTGAAGAGCAGGAGAGGGTTTTCTTCTTCTTTGTGAATGAAGGAATGACCAACTCCCCCCGCTATGGCTGCCAAGGTTCTCCTTCATCCCCTCACCTGCATTGGATGATTGTCTCTAGGAGCTCCTGACACATCGTGCAGATCTTCTTGATGAGATCCAGCCTGCACCGATCTCTACAGTCACATCCGCGACTGGCGCCAAGGCAAAAGACATAGGCATGGGATGCGCCAACCTGATTTTGACGGGCCGATTGGGAGACGCGGATGGATGGTGAGCTTGGGTGCCGGACTTGTGCGCGAACCTGATTTCAACTAGCCGATTGTGAGACGCAGGTGTGAACACCGAAGCTATTGGCTTGGAGCGCTATTGTGACCTACAACGCAAGGGAGATGTCCACAAGCGCATGTGGCAGATCCCGGTTCTCCCTTGGCATAAATAGGGCAATGTGGCTGCCATGGCTTCAATGGAGGAGCAATATTGTGTGCAAAGTGAGGAGCCGATTGGCGCAAGCGCAGCCGTAAAGGCGTCAGCTACCTTGGGCCAAGCATCTTGGGAGACTTGGCATCGGCGACTTGCACATGTGGCTCTCTCCACTTTGGAGTTGATGCACAAGGAGAAGTGCGTACACCGCATGCAAGTGCATGGTGGTGGCGCTGCCTTTGACGGCTGCGAGGCATGCATGCAGACCAAATTCGTGCGGTTCCCGTTTCCACGTGCGGAGGGATCAGCGAAGGCACCATTGGAGGTGGTGCACATGGACCTTGTAGGTCCTATGCGGACTGAGGGGACTGGGGGAGCATTATACTTTCTTGCGTCATTTGCATGAGCATAAATCATTATGCATGGCTGTTGGATTTTATCACCTCTGTGTTTTTCTCCAAGTCTAAATGCTTGATCGCGCAGGAGAAATCTAGAGCTTTCCAACGATACCAAGATCGATTTATTCCAACCAAGATCGATCAAGTTACAAGATTTCCAAGATTTGGGAATTCTTTCTTGATTTAAGATGTTATCTACACTGGGCGATTATTGAGACATGATTAAAATGGACCTTTGGTAGGGTGGTTAGAAAGGCAACTTTGACTTTTGCCTAGAACTTTCTACCATGGGATGCAAATGTGCAACACGTTGGCAAAATCCAATTGGATTGGATTTTGCATGTGACACCTCAATGACCTCATAATGAGGGTTGCATTTTTTATGCTATGAAGGTTCCTACTATCCTTCGCTAGCATTTGGAGAGCGCATCCCTCACAAGGTTCTCTTGAAACCACCAACTCCTATCATTCTATCTCCAATGTTTGTTCTTCCTTTATCCATTCTAGTGAAAGCAGCAGCTATACGTTTTCAAATCGTTCTTATCTGCTGGATCACTTTTTGACGTGATTCAGCTTTGAGGTGGTAGCAAAAGTCAGCGCGCACAATTCTACCGAGCGGGATTGCGTTTAGTTGAGAAATGAATTCGTCGTAAGTCTTCAAAGTGACCGGATCCTGTGCAACATAAATAACAAGCTTACCGTTGGTACCGACCATATGGGAAATTAACCCCTTACCCTCGATACCAACCATATGGGTAAGTAACCCACTTACTCTTTATACTAACCATATGAGTAAGTAATGCACCTACACTTAGTACTAACCATATGGGTAAGTAACGCACTTACTCTTGATACCAACCATATAGGAAAGAAACGCACTTACTCTTTGTACCAACCAGATTAGTAAGAAACACATTTATTCTTGGTACCAACTATATGGGTAAGTAATGCACTTACTCTTGGTACCAACCATATGAATAAGTAACGCACTTACTCTTGGTACCAAACATATGGGTAAGTAACGCACTTATTCTCTATACCAACCATATGGGTAAGTAACACGCTTACTCTTGGTACCAACCATATGGGAAAGTTACGTACTTACTCTTGATACCAACCATATGTGTAAATAATGTTGGTGCTAGGGCCTAAACAACTCAAGCTATTAATGTTAGAGACTAAGGACGGAGTCTAAAACGTTTAGGGGCCGAAATAACTCAAAATCGTTGGTCTAAAATTCTGGACAGAAATGTCGACTTCACAAGAAACGCCGTCGACGAGAAACGCACCGTTTTAATTTCACCAAAATCAACTATGTTATAGCTCTAGAGCGTGGCTACAATTCCCAATTCAAATCGCACAAAACAATGAAGTAAATTTTGAGTTATGAATTTCGGCTCGCTAGGAGGTATGCTAGAGCTGAAACTTAACTCACTCACAATTATCCACACAAGAACCACACAAGAAATTTAAAGTAGCTAGAAACCAGGTAGGAGGGAAGAGGAGGACGAGAGGGAAGGTCCCCAAGGAGTCCCCAACCAAGGAAACCCCATAAGCACAAACGATTTCCTCACTATAGGAACTCAACTTTCACCCTTGTTATTTTCCCAACCTCTCAATTCCACCTCACCCAACTTGGCCACACTTGCCAACCTGGTTTAGCTTCTCCCAACCACTTGGCATCATCTACAGTAGAAGTGACGAATTTCTCAAACCCCAAAAGTCTATACCCCATATTGAGTCCCTCCGCAAGTTCCCATCGCCGCATCGAAATATCAAAAGCATACGAACTTCAATCGTTCGTAACTTTCTTATCCGTGCTCCGATAGCGACGATTCTTTGTTCATCGGAAAGCTCTCAAACAGAGAAGTTATTTTAGATATCTGCTCAAGCAAATGTAATTCATTCACACACACTCAGAGAATCCAAACCACACCAAACACAAATTCTTGCACACGCTCACACCACGCATGCAATGCACGAACATATGATGGGAGGCAGACAGACGTGAATGCATATGATTGCATCACACAACAAACTCCCCCTCTGGTTGCCAAACATCATCACAAATGCCATAGTTGAAGCATGCACCCCCAATGCACACTCATCCCAACAAGCTTCATGCCCTTTCAACATTCTTCCAACACTTATCTCAATGGAGAATCATCTCCTTGTAACATCCCACTTCCATCATCCCCAAATATATAGCACCCCTCTGGAGCATCTCTCTCACAGCACAATGCTCCAAACCATCTCAACAAAGCCTCGTAGCAGTGGCTATCTCATCCTCATCCATTTGCTCAGCCGCACTCCCAGCCGGTACCACTTTTGGCGTGCCAAGAGTCGGATAGGTCAGCCTGGTAGGAGGGTGCACCTCCCTTCTAGGACGTACAGGCGGACATTGGGCACGTGGTTGAGCACGTTGTTGTTGCTGCTGCTGCTGCTGTTGCTGCGGCTGCTGCTGCTGCTGCTGCTGCTGCTCCTCCACCTCAGGTTCTTCCCCATCCTCAGTCACCCCAGAGATCTCCTCCTCTGAGACAGTAACCTCCACTTGCCTCGAAGACCACTGCACCTCATCGGCCTCAACGATTAGCGGTGTAGTAGGAAGCTTTTGCTGCTGCTGCTTCCACTCCTTGTAGTACAGGGACTCAAGGAACTTCACATCCCTTGACACAGTCAGCTGCTGGCTAGTCAAGTTCCATAGCAGCCAGCCCTTGTGATCCTTTGCAAGCCCCAAGTGCACACCCCATCTCCCAGGAGCCTCCAGCTTTCCCCACTTCTTCTTCGGCACATGAAACACCACCATGCAGCCATAGGCTCTCAGCATGTTGACTGCAGGTGCACTACCACTGCTGGGTGTAGGGGACCCACTGCTTGTCCCCCACAGTCGCCAGCACCCTGTTCTTCACAAGAGCGACCTGCCTCAGTGCAGTCACCCAAAACGGATCCGGCAGCCCTGCACGCCCAAGTAGAGTGCGGGCACCTTCCTGCAGGGTCCGGTTGAACCGCTCAGCCACGCCGTTCTGCTGAGGGTTGTAGGGCACTGTGAGCTGATGTTGGATCCCTTTCTTCTTCAGCACTGCCTCAAATTCATTTCCAATAAACTCTCCTCCGTTGTCTGTAAGGATCACCTTCATCTTATGTCCCCTCTCCCTTTGTGCTTTCGGCATCCACTCCATAAGAACAGTCTTCAGAGGATACACCCCACACAACACGTGAGTGGTCGAACACAATGGTCCGGAAGTAGCGGCTGCCCGAGAGAGAAAGGGCCCTCGTGGGGCCCACCACATCCATGTGCACAAGTGCAAGTGGAGCCTTGGTTTGTCTTGTGCTGCTGCTGAAGGGAAACTTCGTGAACTTGGTCTCAAGGCATGTAGGGCAGATTCCAATCTTCTTTGTTGCCCCCTTCACCTCCAATCCCTTCAAGCTCCCATCCTTAACCAATTTTGCAGCATTGGGATGTTGATGTGGCACAACCTCTTGTGCCATGTCTCCCAATCGGCCTCACCGTTCCCAGATGAAGTCTTTACCCATGCAGCTGTCGCATCCATACCAGGAAGTACCTCACCATGTGGCTGCTGCACCTTTTTGACTGCATCCAGTGCCCCATCAGTTAGTGGAGTCTCCTCTCCTCCCACAGTTTCCTTAGCCGTTGCTGCTGCCGTGGCCGTTGCTGGAGGTTTCCCGTTCCAAGGGATGATGGGCAGCTGCCACAGGTCCTTGATGCAGCTGCTCTTCTCCTCTAGGCTCCACAGTAGCATCTTCCCAAGTTTTGCACGGCAGTTGGTTGGGCCAAATGTCACTTTGGCCTTGCTCTTCTGCAGCCGGCGCACAAAAAGAAGGTTAGCGAACTAACCTTCACACAACAGTATATTTCCAAGCCCCACAAGCTCCCCATTGGCTCCCATCACCTTAGCATTCCCAACACCAATCACAGGGAGCAAAGCACCTGAAGCGGCAGCCACAAACTTGATCTTCCTAGGGGGGGCTTTACCTCATCAAGCAAATCTGCCTGTGGGGTCATGTGACTTGTGCAACCTGAATTGATCACCTAATGAGTGAGGGGGTGCATTACAACCTTTCCAGGCGAACCCACATCACCCTCACTCTCTTTCACATATTCAACCATGAGGAACATCCAAGGTAAGGCTTTTCCTTATGCACATAAACCTCGCACAGCACCACCGTTTGCACGTTCATTACTTGGCGGCTTCATGCCTGGAGGCGCCCATCCCTCAGGCCGGCTGAAACACTTGAACCACGGGTGTCCAGCCTTCTTGCAGTACCAGCAAGCTCCCTCCATTCGAGTGCTCCCCCTGCCACCAGAGCTCCCATGCCCCTCATTGTAGTCATCTAGACCTCTCCCTCTGCCAAAGCCTCTCCCACGGCCTCGGCCTCTTCCACCCCCTCTTCCTCCGCTGCCGCCTGCAGCTCCGTACCCCTCAGCAGTCTTGTTAGCAGCACCGCCTCTCGTATGGCAACTGCGGAAGTCCTCCTGCAGAATCTGCTGCCGTAGCCACTCAGGTGTCCACTGGTCCTGTTCAGTGTTGAGGGTGGGGATGAGGTTGTCCCACGAGTTGTCGAGCACCGAGATGATCTTGGTGCACTGCTGCATCTGCGACACCTTGCTGCCCGCCGCTGCCATCCTCGCGTAAGTGTCCTTGATCTTGTCAAGGACCGGCTTCACATCGTCTCCCGGTCGCATGGAGAGGGCAGCCAACTTGCGTCGCATAGTAGCTTCCATGCCTTCGGTCATGAGTCATCTAGCTCCACTAAGTCCTTGATGTGCTGGAACATATCGTTGTTGATCGATTGTAGGATGAGGTGAAACAACACCGCAAACTTCTCAATCCACCGATCGTGGGCATCACCTTCCTCCAGCGTCTTCTCTTCTCCCATAGCCAACTTCAATATCTTGTACCATTTGAAGGCACTCCTCATCTGCCCACTCCATTCCTCATAATTGGAGCCATCCAAAGCTTCGATCTTCGATGGTGGCGGTTCACTCATTTTCTCAGATGCTTCTCCACTCTCTTGCCTCATCTTCTCTTCTCCTAATCTCAGGTTTCAGCTCCCCCCTTGCTGTCCACACTGAAGTCTCACAATATTTTCACAAGTGTCGGCGCCAACAAAATTTCGGCAGAGTTTCCCCTTAGCGGAAGTCACATCCAACCTCTAGAACTCCACTTAGGCACGCCCACAGGCCATGGTGAGTCTAGGAGGGTCTTCACACCTCGGTAGACTCTTGACAAGGTCCTCAATCAGCTCTGATACCACTTGTTAGAGACTAAGGACGGAGTCTAGAACGTTTAGGGGCCGAAAAAACTCAAAATCGTTGGTATAAAATTCTGGACAGAACTGTCGTCTTCACAAGAAACGCCGTCGATGAAAAACTTCACCGGTAGAACTTCACCAAAATCAGCTATGTTGTAGCTCTCGAGTGTGGCTACAATTCCCAATTTGAATCGCACAAAAAGATGAAGTAAATTTTGAGTTATGAATTTCAGCGCGCTAGGAGGTATGCTGGAGCTTAAACTTAACTCACTCACAATTATCCACTTAAGAACCATAAAGAGAATAAGAGTAGCTAGAATGTCAGAATGAACGGACAGGAATGACTGTACTAGCACAAAGTTGGATACAAGTAGTAAACCCTAATCTAGTGTACCCCCTAAGGTGTAACCCACTACAGCCTACAATCATATAAACATATAATGTTTGACACACCCCCATAGGCGCAGTGGGAGACAACCACAGGGTCACGAGACCAGTCAAAGCAAAGGAAGGCAAGCTCAGGGTGGATCTCAAGGATTCCACACAAATTCCGAGCACAAGCTAGTGGTCACAAGACCAGTTCACATGCAGGTTTATAACAGAGCAAGAGATACAGTGATGACAACCTAGCAAGAGTAAACATGCAGGTATAGATATATATAGTGATCACAGTACAAGCAAAGTCAAGAGGTAAGCAAGTGAGGTCCAGTAGGCACAAGGCCTAGTAGAGTGCAGAAGCGCTGATGGTCACGAGGCTGAAGCGCCTTGGTGAACACATCAGCAGTGTTGGCCTCAGTGGCCACGTAGCGAATACAAAGCTGACCGCGCTGCTGCAGCTCACGAGCAAGGAAGTACCGCAGGGCGATGTGCTTCGTTCTGTGCTCCAGTCTGTGCTCCTGACACAAGGCAATGGCAGCCTTGTTGTCGACGTACAGTACTGGAGGAGAACGAGGCGGCTCTCCGAGGTCGGTCAGCAGGTAGGTCAGCCAGCGTAGCTCCTGGGCAGCCATGGCTGTAGCGTAGATCTCAGCCTCGCAACTGGAGCCGAGAACAGAAGAAGAGCGTGTAGAGCGCCAAGAAACTGAGCCAGAGCCAAGGCTGAAGGTGTAACCCTGAGACGACCACTGAGTGGCCTGGTCGTCTGCCCAAGAAGCGTCTGAGTGCCCTGTGAGAACAACTCGGTCTCGCCCTCCAAGCACAAGCCCCATGCCCGACGTACTGCACAAGTAGCGCAACACCCTTTTAGCGGCATCCATGTGCTCCTTCCTGTGACGGCCAGGAGCGACATAGCGTGCAAGGATGCTAAGAGGGTATGCAAGGTCAGGTCGAGTGCAGGTCATCAGGTACATGAGGCAGCCCACAAGCTCTGGATACGGGCCACTCGGCTCTACGGACTCATCCGAAGGCAGAGCTGAGAGCGAGTGACCGGTAGGCAGAGGAGTGGACTGAGGCGAGGAGTACGTGAAGCGGAAGCGCTGAAGGACCTGCCGCACCATGTGTGACTGAGTCAGGGTGATGGTGCGCCGTGCTCTGTCCCGGGTGATCCGCAAGCCAAGATAGCTTGTCAGCTCACCCAGGTCTGTGCACGTGTGTCTCCTCTGCAGCTCCGACTTCACGTAGGCGAGTCCTGCAGTGTCAGCAGTGGCAAAGACCAAGTCGTCGACGTACACGAGGATGTAGAACGGCGGCAGCGAAGTGTCGGTGCGCAGGAACAGCGACGGGTCAGCTGTAGAAGGCGCGAACCCAAGAGCCGCAAGTGTAGTCCTCAGTGTGTCGTGCCACTCACGCGGAGCCTGGCGGAGACCGTAGACCGGCCGCTGAAGCCTCCACTGGGTACCAGGAGGAAACGACCCAGTGAAGCCAGGTGGGCGGCGCAGCCAGATCTCCTCGTGCAGGTTGCCCTGCAAGAAAGCAGTGCTGAAGTCAAGTGAGTGAAGCTCGTAGTCGCGCTGAGCGGCTATGTGCAGCAGCATCCGAAGAGTAGTCATCTTCGGGGTGGGGGAGAAGGTCTGGAAGAAGTCAACTCCCTCTCGCTGACTGAAGCCTCGAGCCACGTAACGCGCCTTGAAGACAGGCGGAGAACCCGGCGGCCGCTTCACCCTGAAAATCCACATGCCACTGACGATGTTCGCCCCAGGAGGGGGAACCTCGTCGACGTAGGTGCGTGTGGACTTCCAGGAAGCCATCTCGGCGTCCATGGCTGTCTGCCACTGAGAGGAGTAGGGACCCGCCATCGCCTCAGCGTAAGTGCGCGGGGTCGGGATGTCTGGTGCATCCGGGTCTCCCTCAGGGGCAACTAGCAAGGACACGAGACGGGGCAAAGCAGCAGCAAGACACTGGAACTCCTCCTGTCTGTCCTCAAGGACGTCCGTGCCAAGAGCACACTCACCCCCGACGGACGGAGGACAGACAGACTCAGACTCAGACTCAGCAACAAGGCTAGCAGCGTAGTCTAGACGACAGGCAGCAGCAAAGTCAACCAACTCAGAGACCAGAGCAGACGCAGCAAGGACTCAAAGGTAGGGTCAGTGACAACAGTAGCGAGGGACGAGTGACAGTAGGGTGCTCAGCACGGTACCGGTCAGACTCAGGGTCCGGAACGTGAGGCAAAGAGGACGCAGGAGGAGACGGTAGAGGGACACGCTGAGGAGCAGTAGAGAGGAGCAGAGTCATGTAATGAGTGCCTGGGACAGGAGGAGGACGCTCACGATGGACACGACTACCAGTGCGAGCAGGACGAACAGGCGACGCAGGACGAGACTCAGGCTCACGACGCTCTGTAAGACCTCCTGTGGGACCAGTGTAAGGAGAGGGAGCAGGGAGAGGCGAGGTAGGCGGTAACTGTGACTGCGGCTGGACAGGCGGAGGACACTCTACGGAGGGAGGAGGACAAGGAGGAGGAGCCTGCCCAAGAACCTGCTGAAGGAGCGGTACGAAGTACGGTCGCGGCCGCGCAGCGTCTCCAGAAGCAGAGGAGACTCCAGCGGCCGGGTCCACAGCACCAGCAGCAGCTCCACCGGCCGGGTCCTCAGCACCAGTAGTAGCTCCAACGCCCGGGTCCTCAGCAGCAGCAGCAGCGCCACCGCTCGGGTCCTCAGCTCCAGCAGCAGCTCCACCGTCCGAGTCCTCAGTACCAGCAGCAGCTCCACCGTCCAGGTCCTCAGCACCAGCAGCAGCTCCACCAGGCGGGTCCGCAGCACCAGCAGCAGCTCCCACGTCCGGGTCCTCAGCACCAGCAGCAGCGCCACCCCCAGGGTCCGCAGCACCAGGAGCACCACTCCGAAGACTGCTGAATGGGGGGGAGCTCCTGGGTAGGAGGGGAAGTACCGGGACGAGCTCCAGCAGCACCTCTCCGGAGGCGGCAGTACTCGAGGTACCTCTCCTGCAGCTGCTGGGAGGAGAGGGCTCCTCCAGGTGTAGCACGCTCAGGCTCAGCACCCCCAGACGCAGCACCCCCAGACCCAGCACCCCCAGGCTCAGCACCTCCAGGCTCCGCACCTCCAGGCTCCGCACCTCCTGGCTCAGCACCCCCAGGCTCCGCACCCCCAGACTCAGCACTCCCAGGCTCAGCACCCCCAGACGCAGCACCCCCAGGCTCAGCACCCCCAGACGCAGCACCCCCAGGCTCAGCACCCCCAGGCTCAGCACCCCCAGACTCAGCACCCCCAGGCTCAGCACCCCTAGACGCAGGACGAGAGTCAACAGCTACCTCGACAGGCTCACCCGGGTCTACCTGGGACACACCTGAGGGAGCGGCACCCTGAGGGGGGAGGGGGTCTGGTACCTCAGCACCTGGAGCGAGGAAGAGAGGCGGGGGGGGGAGCGGGGCAGTGCGGTAGGGGAAGAGGCGGTAGTAGGGGACGGACTCGTCAAAAGTGACGTCCTGAGAGGCCAGGACACGCCGCGAGGTGGGGTGGTAGAACTGCCAACCAGGGGCGTCCGGGACAAAGCCAAGGAAGACGCAGGGGACAGCGCGACGGGAGAGCTTGTCCGCGGACGTGTCGCGGACAAAAGCTCGGGATCCCCAGACCCGAAAACGCGACGCATCGCCAGCCTCTCCCGTCCAACGCAGTGTCGGAGAAGTCTCCGGCAAGGAGAGACGGGGCCAGAGGTTGAGCTGATGCGCAGCGTATCGGACTGCAAACGGCCACAGAAAGTGGGGGGCAGCCGCATGAACCAAGGGGTACGAGCGACCTCCATAACCAAGCCAATGAGGCGCTCAGCAACCCCATTCTGCTGTGGAGAGGCCGGAAGCGTGAACGACTGCTCAATGCCCTCCTGCTGACAGAAGGCCTCCAAGAGGCCAGAGGAAAACTCACCACCTTTGTCAGAGTGCAGACGCAGGACAGGGAAGTCGGAGTGGAAACGCTCACTGAGCTGGAGACGAGATCTGCGGATCCAAGGGATCAAGACATCAGGGACGTCACCCTTGGTGCGCAAGGGGAAGACCGTGGTGTAGCGCGAGAAGTCGTCAACAACAATCAGGAAGTACCTCTCCTGACCCTGGCCACGGACGCGGGCTGGGCCCCACACGTCCATGTGGAGCGTCTGCAAAGGAGCAGTCGTCGGGGAAAGGAAAGGAGAGAGTGAGGAGCGGCGCGCTGCCGCCCCTCGACACAGGGAAGACAGGGAGGAGCAGGCGAGGCTGGAAGGGGAGGGAGCACCCTGGGAAGACCAGCAACAAGGTCCCGTTTGTGCATGGCCCGAAGGCGCTGCACAGACGGGTGACCAAGGCGGTGGTGCCAAAGGACAGTCTCATGCGTCAGAGAGCGACACGAGCAGGGGGCGGACAGCTGACCTGACGCAGACGCAGACGCGGACGCAGCTACCTGAGGGGACTCAATGGTCAGTGTGTAAAGGTCCGACCCCGGCTCCCGAGTGAAGGTAGCCAGGTGGCGACCCGTCCGAGCACACGTGCAGTGTGTCACGCGCTCGTAGGCAGGGGTGAACTGGTGAACACCCCCGTCCTGGAGCGCACTACCTGCCACCAAGTTCGTAGAGAACGAGGGGAGGTAGAGACCTGACAGCGTGCCGGACGGGACCGCCGGACAAGGAAGGACAGTGGAGGAGGTCGCAATGACCGGACCCCCAGAGGGGTCAGCAAGGGAGACAGCAACTGGCCGAGCGAGTGGCTCAAGGACAGTGCGGTCACGAAAGAAAGAGCGAGAAGCACCTGAGTCCAGGGTGAAGGTGTGCAGTGCCGTCGTCGACATAGAAACCAGGTAGGAGGGAAAAGGAGGACGGGAGGGAAGGTCCCTAATGAGTCCCCAACCAAGGAAACCCCATAAGCACACAAGATTCCCTCCCTATAGAAACGCAACCTTCGCCCTTGTCATTTTCCCAACCTCTCAATTCCACCTCACCCAACTTGGCCACACTTGCCAACCTGGTTTGGCTTCTCCCAACACTTGGCATCATATACAGTAGAAGCGACGAGTTTCCCCCAAATGTCTACAACCCTTAAAGTTTTATACCCCATATTGAGTCACTCCGCAAGTTCCCATAGTCGCCGCATCAAAATATCAAAAGCATACGAACTTCAACCGTTCGTAACTTTCTCATCCGTGCTTCGATAGCAACGATTCTTGGTTCGTCGGAAAGCTCTCAAACAGATAAGTTATTTCAGATATCTGCTCAAGCAAAATATCATTCACACACACTCAGAGAATCCAAACCATATCGAACACAAATTCTTGCACACGGTCACACCAAGCATGCAACGCACGGACATATGATGGGAGGCAGACAGACGTGAATGCGAATGATCAACTGGTAAGTCGACCAGGCCTTCTGGTCGACCTGGTTGGTCGACCAAGCCTTCTGGTCGACCTGGTAAGTCGACCAGGCCTTCTGGTCGACCTGGTAAGTCGACCAGGCCTTCTGGTCGACCTGGTTGGTCGACTTGGGAGGTCGACCGGCACATACAGGAGCAGCTGGTCGACGTGGTTGCCTGGTCGACCAGGTTATTTCGGGGGTGACGAGGTTCTGCGAAGGCACGCGACGGTCGCTCAGGCGATGTTGGCGAGGACGATCTCGGTGGTGGTATCCCGAGGTCGACGTGGCTGATCAGAATCAGTCGTCAGCACGAAGTTGACTTGGTGTGTGCGCTGTGCAGGTGACGAGGCACTACACGCCAATCATCTGCGAGCACCTGCGAAGCGGGTGCGCTGCTGTCCTGCGGGAGCAGCGTTGGCACGCCGTCAACCTGCGATGTTGGCACGCCGTCGACTTGCAGCACTGGCAAGCCGCGCCTCTGCACTGCTGGAGCACGGTCGACCAAGTCGTGCTGGCACGCGGTCGACCGTGCTGCGCTGGCAGTAGACTTGCTTGCATGCTAGCTCTGATGTAGTCTAGTCTTGCCAACTTCATTGAACTATTGTTGTCAACCTTTCCTAGTGAAACTCTTGCCAATTCTCCTTGTGAACTAGCAAGTAGTGTGAGCACTTGGAAACGACTAAGGAACAAGTGAACGCAGAGATCACACGAGCACCCGTGCCTAGCCCGTAGTCCAGCTCCCGTTGTAGTAGTTATCTTCGCATGGTGCGGTGAGCGTGGATCGAACACGCGACTTACCTTTTAGTCTAGTCGACTTAGTTGCACCTTACCTAAGTTGTTCGTAGGCCGGCAGCTGTGAC